GAAAAATTTTGTTCTGCATTGTTTTCTTCATCTTCTCCCACCTGATAATCTGTCTTCTTGCCTCCTCTGTTGTTGTAAGTTCTCTCACCATAAAGAGACATTTTTCTTCAATTTGATAGCAACTAATTTGATCTGTCTCTCTTCGGGCACCTCTTTATATTTGAAGATCCACTCAACTGTCTATAGCCATTCAATAAATTCATCAGGATACATGCACCCCTCAAACTTAGGCAAATCTACTTTTATTCTGAGGTCTTGGTGTCCTCCAAATGAGATATCTTCACGAAAAGTTTCCCTGTGGGAAGGATGCAGGTATCCCTCTCTAGCCTCCTCTGATACTGGATTTCAAAATGTCATGGCCCGTCATCTTCATTGCTGAAATTTTCCCTATGGAAGGGATTAATATTATTTTCTCTCTCTCCCCTTCAATTCTACAGGTCTCAATTGAAAGTAATTTCTTCTTGTGTCATCTCTTCAATCTCCACAAATCTCTTCTGGAGGTGACAAAACTCTTGTCGTATCTCTTCACGAGTAGGTTCGAGCATATTTCTTCTTAATGGTATGATTGATGGTTTGAGGACTGTTGAAAAAAGAAAAGAAAAGAGAAATGAAAGAGAAGAACGACAAGTCAAGAAAAGGGAGAAGATAAAATAAATTTGTTGTGGTGGCTCGGGTAGGGGCGGATGATGGGAAACCCCTACGATAAGACCAGGGTTGGGCTAGCTTTGATACCAAATGATACCGGAGGAAAACCCAGATCATTACTAAAAATTGCAACTATTATTAAGGGACACCACAATGTTACAATGACAATTCAACAGGAAATAACATGACATATGTAATAAGTAAACGACAATGAGGACTACTAAAATGAAGGAAAAGGCAATAACATAAAACAGAAACAACCCTTTGCGATGGGTATGATAGGGCGAGAATAGAATAGCGGTGTTGGCGGTCGCGTGGAAAAGGCCAGAAAGGCTGGTGGCTACTGAGAGGAGTCTGACAGGTGGCCAGAAGATGTTGGAGAGGACCGGCGGCACGTTGGAAAAGAACTATAGGGGGCAATAAGACTGGCGACCTGCAAAGAGGGTTGGCTAGGGGCAGGAAGGACCTGCAAGGTGGCCAGCAGCAGCGGAAGAGGGGGTTGTGGTGACTAGATTCTGAAATGGCAGCAGTTAAACCCAAGTATGGTAAGATAAATGCCTAGTCTGGATCAAGCTACAGTCAAAGCACCACTTGGACACATGGAGATGGTCACCATCTAGGACAAGGGACAGCGAGAGCACTTCCTCGCCATCAGATACAACCCTTGAAAGGAAAAACACAAGCGGTGACAAACTAAATTCAGAAATAACTTAACCTCCAAGAACTGAGAAACTCCAAGCATACTACCTCTAATTTATAATGAGCCTTAGGATTTATCTTATGCAATGCTTTAAAATAATAAGAATTCATAATTTAGACAATGTTTATTATAGGAAGAATTCAGAATCAACAAAGACTAATAACAATAATAGAAATTCAGAATTGGCAAATGCTAGGAAGAAAAGAGGGAATAGGATGAGAAGGAAAGGAAGGGGGAGCATGGGCGGTACCGCCCCATAACCCCGCGTCAGGCTCCCTCCTTTATATATAAAACTGGCTCATGCTTTCAAATTGTATCTTTAGGGTTGTTTAGGATCACTTTTATTTTTTATTTTCTATTTATTTTGTTTTGAAAGAAAACATGTTTGACATATTTGATTAAGATGTGATTGTTTTTAAAAATACTCAAAACACCTAAAGTTATTTTGATTGTTTTCAAAAACATATTTATTTGTTTTTAGAAACAAAAAGTAAAAATATATTAAAAATACATATTAAACAAACCTGTACTTAAAAAAAAGGAAAAAATAAATACAAAACAAAAAATAAAATTGTTCCAAAGAAGCCCTTAGTAAATGAAATAAAATTGACAATCAAAAGAGCACCAACCCATCAAGAAATATAAAGTATTTCCATTAAAATAAATAATATAAATATTATGCCAATGAAGAGAGAAAAATTATATAGGTAATATACAAAGTGTACCACCTTCAGCTTCTTAGCATCCTTTCCAGAAGTAACCTAACAAAGAATAAAGTTGGAGAAACTTGGAAATGGCTTAAGATATGGCACTTCTTTCAAAAGAGCAAACAACCTTTCCCTTTCTTGCACAAGTAAATTCTTTACTCTCTGAGGAAATTGAGGAAAATAGAGGGTCCATATGTAAGAAATTCTAGCTAAAACATACCATTATAAAATATGAAGATTTACATCCATACCACGAAATTCCTATGTATTTTCACAGCTAACACCTAAACTTCAATTTTTAGTGTATGCCACCTTACCCATGCATAGGAAGGTTTACTCACTTTTTATAAATTAAATAGTGGTATTTTTTATATTATACAAAATATTTGCGTGGTATAAATGTAAACAATTTAAGCGTTAGATGTATAAATACATAAGAATTGAGTGGTATGTATCTAAATGCCCCTATAAAATAAGATTCAGCAACGGTAACACAGCAGAGGTACCTCCAGATAACCAGGATTCTGCAAAGCGGCACATGCAGAAATTGTTGCTGCCACAGATACATTGTATGGTTGCTTCGCCCGCCATACATATTGAATAATGCTGAGAGGAAAAGCTCCATAACCAACACAAAGTCGAGCTAAACCTACATCAATTTCAAGGGCAATTTTATCATTAGAAGAAGGAAAATTTACATACGCAGCATACAATTCTGTATTTACATGTCACACCTAAACTATCATACTAACATAAATGCATGAAGATATGTATTCTACTTTTAAAAAGTGATAACACTGTTATTTTTTTATGTGATATTAAAGATTTGAGTGCTATGCGTGTAAAGACGAAAGTTTAGGTGCGAGATATGTAAATACATAAGAATTGTGCGCGCTATGTAAATTGTAAATGCCCCTGACAAAAATGTGCAGCAGAAAGTCCAAACAGAGGAATAATGAATAGCATTTGAGAACAGATGAATAAAATAACAGTGGCTCTAGAAGTAGGCGACGGCACGAATAATGGCTCAAGTAGCTCAAGTAGCGGGTGAAAGCATGAATGTCAGCTCAAGTAGCACCAGAAAACAGAATTGACAACACGAATACTAAGCAACAACCAGAACGATGCTCGAATTGTAAGACGAGATCCTAAACTTCTCCAAAACTCTAGACTTGAGGAGAACTTAAGCCCCCAAATGAGCTGAACAAGGATTCTATTTATAGACTTAGCATGGGCTTCTTGGGGTATGTTCAATCTTGAATTAGTTCCTAACTTAAAACAGGGTCATCATTTCATTGAAATCTTGTAAACTCAGATCTGGCGGGTCTTATCTCCGAGCCAAAAAATGATTTCATTTTCGAGTAATTTTAAATCTTAATGCAAATTCATAGCCCTGTTTGAAGTAGCAAAAATGAATTCTAATGCCTCAAAGAAAAGGAATTATTTCACATGGAGTAGAATCTTATGAGACAGATCATAAATCTAGTAATAATTTAGAAATATTTGGTAATGAAAAGGTTATAGTTTCCAAATTAGAGTAAGCCAAATAAATGGGGGACAAACTTTGGTATTCAAGTTTTTACTATGTAAATTAAGTTACATCCATGGCACCACCAAATTCAAGTTCTCTTCATTATCTACTTTCTTGTGTATGTCAATAGAATTTCAAAGTTAAGACTGATATAAATCCCTCGTACACTCCCCATTCATTTGAAATTTGCAAGTTTCTTCTTGTATAAGGTCACTTCCTTGAACAAAAACTAGAAGAGGAAGATTTACATTCGTACCACTCAAGTCTTATGTATTTACATATCCGACGCCTTCAATTTGTACAGATATGCCATCTTACCTATGCAGGAAAAGTTGTATTTCATTTTTTTTTTTAAAGTTAAAATAGCGGATTTTTTGCTGTGATATAAAAGATTTGAGTGTTATAAATGTAAAAAAAAAGCAAACTTTAGCTGTTAAATATGTAAATACATAGGAATGGGGCGGTATGTATGTAAATGCTCCAACATAATAATGCATAGGAATCCAAAGTTCATCTAACCGACCTGCTCTTTTGCTAAATGTACGGAGAAAAATCAAGTTATCGTGCTTCTTTACCCAATTCATCCTTGATTGAAGACCAGAGAATTCAATGTATGCCTCATCCAGTACAACCAAAATAGGCAAGTTCAGAATCTTTAGAAGATCTTCATCATGAATTATACTAGGAGTAAAAAAAGATAAGAGTTAAATATTATCTCAAAAAAATTAAAAAAAAAATAAAAAGTGTACACATACCACATAATTTTTATGTATTTACATATCAAACACTCAAATTTTGATATTCACACTTATAACACCTTTGTATCATATATCTAATGCATAACAAGGTGTATTTCACTTTGTATCATATATCTAATGCATAACAAGGTGTATTTCACTTTGTATCATATATCTAATGCATAACAAGGTGTATTTCACTTTTAAAAGAATAGAGATGATGGTATTTTTTTACGTGATGTTAAAGAATTGAGCAGTAAGCCTGTAAATCTGAATGTTTAGATGTTAGATATGTAAAAGCACAAGAATTGTCCACACCCTCCCAAAAAAAAAACTACAGGCAAGCTGTAGTTGGGCACAAAAATAGTCACGTGACTTCAAACAGATTACATTTTTAAATCATTGGCAACATATTAAAAGCTCAATGCAAAGATGCACATTGAATAATTATAAAAGTACCTCCCATCCGGATTATTTGGAGAAGTCAGGAAAATGCATTTTGGTTTTTCCTGTTTGACAACTTCAATAATACGGGGGATATCCAAACTGAAATTTGAGAGTCTTGGAACTGCATCAAAGCATAATAGGTAACAGGTATGGTAAGAAAGTATCATAAAATAGTAGGCCTAGACAGAGCAACAAAGTAATATACATGCTATAATAATAATAAGGGGCATTTACATAAATCCCACCAAAATTTCTATGTACCTACATATTTAAAACCTAAGATTTAGGGGGATATCCAAACTGAAATTTGATTAATACCAGCCAAATATTTCATATAATAGGTAACAGGTATGGTAAGAAAGTATCATAAAATAGTAGGCCTAGACAGAGCAACAAAGTAATATACATGCTATAATAATTGAAGTTTAGGTGTTAAATATGTAAATGCATACGAATTGAACGGTATGTATGTAAATCTTCCTAATAAAAATAATAAGCTTCCTCTTCCCCTCTCCCTTATGCTAGCCGGTCAAAACCCTCACCTACTATGCTTTCTCCTCTTTCCATTCAATCCCAGGTTTCCAGCCGGCTAGATCCTACCAAAACTCTCCAACTACTCCAAACCTGAGCTCCACAAAGCCCAAGGAAACTAGCTGGCACTCTTGCCCTCCATATCCAAAACCCATTTTTTCCCGATCTTCGGTTCATGGAAATCTAGAACAATCAAGGATATCAAGTGCACTTTATACTTACTCCATTGAGGGAACCTCAATTGGTATCAGAGTAAAGCAGCCGGTCTTCCATTGCATTTTTAATTGCTCGAGTAAAGTGTCAAAACATTACCCTATTTACTTGAGA